CCCCAAAACCCCAAAACCCCAAAACCCCAAAACCCCTAATTAAGTTAATAAGATTGAAAACCTCATATTTGATTAATTATGAAAAACTTTCATTGATGACCTTTGTTAGCTCAATATCAGCATCTAAGGCGTTTTGGATGTACTTTTGGCATAGAAATAGTCATCAATCCTTTGGGTCACCTCCAAAGGATGGCATCGGAATTCAGTTCAATCTATTCATCTCTCAAAATTCGTGAGATGAATCTATAAAGAAGCAGTTCTCAATGTTCCGATTTTCACTAATTGAGAAGAAATCATCTATCTTCCTAGTAGATATAGCTTGTCCTGTCTTTCAGCTATTCTGGGGGAATCACATCAAGGAGCTGAATAAGTCCTCACCTACTAATCTCTCTAGTTCATCAAAAATTTCTTCGAATACAGCTTGGGGGAGGTAAGTATAGACAACAATATTAAATCCTTGTTTGATATACTTCAGAAAAGGGACTCAAAATGGTCTGAGATAGTGAAAAGTTTCCTCTTTCACTTCGTCAGGATCTTCACTATCTTCATCCAAGCCCTTATCAAAAGTCGTTAAAAGCTTGAGATTAGGCAAGGGGAGGTCTGAATTTCAAATTAAGACTTCCTCTAGCTTGATAAACAAGACTTTTGAGTCTATAGAAATTTTAGTCATCGAGTATAGCTTAAAAATGTCACCGAAATTTGTTAAACTTACCATTATAAAATCCAAGCGGATGGTTGCCCGGTTTCATTTCATTATCAGTTACCTATTTCAATTTAATACTTCCTGAATTTTCGCTCAAAAATGTTTCAGAATGAGGGCTGCTAATGGTAAGTACAAGGTTGATCATAATTCGAAATCTGCTGATAAAGGAATCAAAATACTTTAATTGGTATAAAATTTACAATATTTAATGCATCAAAAATTCAAGGAGACTTGGATGCCCAATTTGAATTCTTTTCTGAAATTTTTCAAAAACTGCTAATTTTACACAAATTTACCCAAAAACAAACAGTTTATGGCTGAAAACAACAGGTAGCAATGGTAGTGTAGATACCCACGAATTGGTTGTAAGAAATACCTACCCTTATTTAAGATTTTATGCAAGAATATGACCCAAACTTCTAAAATTTCGGATGAAAATGGTCTTAGCGAACAGCTAGCTTACCAAAATAGAAAGGAAGAGATTTTCAAAATTTCCATTTACAAAATTTAAAAGTTAAGATTATAACATGTACATTGTAATCACCAAGAAATTCGGGGTTATTATAAGACGAATATTACCTGAACTTTAGACTCTTCCTCAAAAGAGAAGGTTGTCCTCACTTTCTGGATAAATTTCTGCCCATCATCAAAGATTTCATAAGGCTTACGGATGTCGGGAGCTGTACTCCCTATGAAAGGAGAGGACTCAAGCCCATCAACGAATCCTCCGAATGATTTTGAAATTTTGTCTTTATATTTCGATTTTTGGAACTGTGGAGTCTCAATGTGGTCACTCTTCTCTCAGAGTTTATGGATATTGTTCTTGGATAGTCCAGATTCGTCTATAGAAGGTAAGGAATAAACATCGTGTTATAAATATTACTGTAAGACTACCTTCCCATAAATTAACCAAAATTATTCAGAATTCCTAGTTTATCGAATACCTATGTAAAATGAGCCGATAAGAGCTTCCTGAGGATCACTATTATACAAATTTCGACAATTTTTTTAGAAGAAGTATGATTCAGCCAAAATTTTTAAGGCTGAAATGATCTCAAACATTTGTTTAAAGTAAATTTTTATGAGGAAATCTCAGTTTTTACCCTTTATTAATATGACAACAATTTAACAGCTATCAATCTCTTGGATGGTTAGGTCTAAAGTCTATCAGGCCTTCATTTAAGTTATTTAAAAATTTATCATAGATCCTAGTCCAGTTATTTGAGGTAATTTTTAGAAATTTTCTTACTTCAGGCTTATATTAAGTATCCATTTTACAGCAAATATTGTTGAAAATTTATTTTCTAACTAATTTCAAAGAAAATTTCCAGAAATTTATGAAAATACCTCGAACTCTGACAGCAAATGTGCTAAAATTTCCTGAATTTCTGAATAGAACTTCTAAAACTAGCTGGTCTACGAATGTTATATACAAAATTACAAATAACCAGGTGAACAACAATCTGGAGGTATTGTAAACTCTTGATACCTTAAACTTTAAAAATTTTGATTGCTCAAGTTTTGACCTGGTATGCTTGAGTGAGAGTATGCCTCAAAGGCCTAGCCAATGATGTGTAATAATTAATATTCTTTGACCCATTTAAAATAACCAGAAGATTTGCAACTAACGATTCATTAGCAGAAGCTGTTTTTCATATTCTGGTGTAAAAGTTGGCTAAAACTGGCATGAAAGTTCAGATTTAGACACATGATAGTTTCTTACAGGCACTCATAAGAGGTTGCGAATAATCCTGTTTTCTAGATAAGGACGAAACATTAATAAAGCCATGTATAACACATCAATTATAAATATTTTAGTTCTATTTGACCCTAGAAGAAAGATGTTCAATACCATGAGATTAACTAGAGCAACAAAATGAAGACCCTAATTACTGGGAGCATTCTCTGGGGTAAGCACTGCTTTAGATGATAGAAATTACCACAAAGATCCCTTGATGGCGACTACAACTTACTATGGTAGAATACTTTGATCTGGGAGGATCTTGGCTCTTTGAACACAGTGTCTTCTGAAGAAAAGAAATCATCAGCTTCATCCCATATTGATTCAGATTCTGGGGAATTCTGTAGGCTGTGATTGTTATTTATAGAGGGCTCCAAACCATTCTCTTTGTAGGATGCCATTTCTAGTCAGATTATATAAATTTCAATATTCTCAAACTCCTTGGGGTTTTGGGGTTTTGGGGTTTTGGGGTTTTGGGGTTTTGGGGTTTTGGGGTTTTGGGG